TATTAAGAATGGTGTTTTCAGTTTTTATTTTATTTTTTAATTTTTTTTTTACTGTTTTCTTTTAGGAAACGTGAATGGAAGAGCTTTAGCATATATAGTTTTTCTTTTTGTACATTTAGGTATATATGTAACATAATATGTTCATACATAAATATAATACTTTTGCGATAGTGTGGTGAATAAACCATATAAATATAAAAAAAAAAATAACTAAAAAATAATAAAAAAAAAAGTGATTACAATTTTTTTTTACAGATTTTACTAACACTCTGAAAGTTGTTTCGAATAATATGAAAATAAAAATTAAATAGTAGGGAAAAAAATCTTAATCAAAACAGTTTGTGAGTGCCGTTAAGCTGAATCAAGTCCTGATAAAGCGGATAGTGGACTGGTGATAGACGACATTATATATGAATATATGTACATGCTTGTAAATATTTATGTACGTATGTATGCGAATTAAATGTATGTTTGTTTATATGTATATAAAAACTAAAGGTTTTTTATTTTTTTTTTTGACTATACTTTTTGACTATACTCGTATTTTTTCTTCTCATATTCCATTTTATCCCTCGCTTCGGACATTTTACTTCTGTTCAGATATGGATGAAACAGTAAAATTTTACCAAATTATTAGAATTTTCTTCAATGATATATGTATGTATGAATAACATATATTATTTGTGTACATTGAATTAAAACTTCATATGGAATGGCTACTAAAATTGTAATTTATTTTTGAAATTTGATAAAGAGTATGCGCCACAAGAAACGAGAAATTTTTAAAAAAGAATTTAAACCTTAAACATGTGCTTTTAATAACAATAATTTTTATATGTTTTGTAGTGGGAGAAATTTCTGTACATACGTATACATATTTAGATGTAGATATATGAATTATTAATTACAATATTTATGTAAAAATTTTAAATAATAATAATTGATTAAGTTTATATATTATTTACTTTACAACACAGTAATGGTATACAATAATTAATTATGTATATGTATGTATGTTTATACAAATATGTGCATATGTAGGTTTATTATATGTAGGTGAACAATATATTGCATAATACAGTTAAAGAAAATTGAAAATTGAATTTACTAAATGTAGCAATGAAAAAGTCAGGTAAAATTTGATTGCAGTTGTAAAACTGTTTCAATTTCCAGGTCCAAAACGTGATATTCAATTACTCAGGAAACCTTCAATTATTTAGTTATTTAAATAGTAGTATAATTTGCAAACGTTTTGTTTCAATATATGTATGTCAATCTCTCTATGGTTATAGAATAGAATTGACGTTGGCAACACTGTAGCGAATTGTGGTGAAGTATTAAAAATACAAACACGATAAGTAAAGCAGCAAAAGAATCACTAGTTATGTAAGCAAAATATCCTTTTTGAAAATTCCATACTAGGATATAGAATGTTTAAAATTTAAGCAAATCCTTTCAACCTGGCATCATTGATTCTTCGATGGTGATAACACACAAGAAAAATTTATTATTTTTTTCCCTCTTTTTAGTATACATTTTTTTTTATTGCGATATTTTTTTTGTTGCGTTTTTTTTTTTTTGTTTTTAGAAATGAAGTACAAAAGTAGAAGTATACGACGACGGTAAACAGCACAAATGTACAAATACAATACGATTAAGAGAACGAAAAAAAAAAGAATGTGTTTAAAACAAAAAAAATACAAGAAAAAGGACAACGAATTTCGGTATTTCTGTTCAATGATATAGAAAAAGATGAAAAAACAAAATATATTTTAGCATAATGTATGTGTTTATGCATATATGTACCTTCATATACGTATATATATTTGTTCATACATATAATTGTAATAAGTATATTTGAAATAAACTGAAGGTATTCTGAATATTCTGATACGACGCTGTACGCGTTAAATCCTTTTTAGTATACAGTTTATAGTATCTTGTTCTTGAATCAACTCATCCTCGCGATTTTTGGGGAAACAAAAAATAGCGAATATTTTTTGTAAGTGATTTTTTTTTCTCAAATTACAAGTTTCTAAAAATTATAAAATAAAATTTTTGGTTTATGTGAAAATAATAAATTTGTAATTTAAAGCAAAATATTTATTTAGTTTATAAGAAATACAAAGGAAAAAATAAAATTAAAAATTAGTAAACTTGAAAAAATTCGATATTCAAAAAAAAAAAATAATAAAAAAAAAAATTTTAAATCTGTGAATGACCTTTGAAAATGGCGCTAATGTGATTTTTTTTTTTTTAATTTTAATATTAAATAGACTCATTTAGAAAGTCTTTCTAGAAAAGTCCGCTTGGTTATTAAAATTTTCAAAAGTAATTATAAATATTTTCAATTTTCTTTAATTAAATTTTTAAAATTTATGCCGGTAAGATAAGAACACACATAATATTACTATAAGCGTTCTGTTTGCATAAATATGTGTGTGTATGTATATACATATGAATATGTGTATATACTTTCGCATTAAAGTCAACCACATTACTCAGATTATTAATTATATATATATGTATTATACATACATATGTGTATATTTTTTTGTACATAATGTGTGCATTTATTATTACTTTGCAGAAGTATATACATACATATATACATGCGTATGTAAGGATAGATTGTATAAATATTGCCCGTACAATATGCATTAACAATGCAAAAACATTTGTATGTTTGTATGATTTTAATTTAATTGATTACAACTTTATTTGTCGAATTTTTAAAAAAATTGTAAGATACATATACGAGTAGGTAATTGAAATTTTTAAAATAAGCACAATATGTTTACATACATACATATATGTATAATGTGATAATTTTAATATTATTTTAACATGTTTACATGATGTTTATACCAAATAAATTGACAAGATTTACTGAAAAAATATCATGCGATACAAACATATACACATATGTATTTATATAATTACATATACATAAGTATGCATGGGATGCCATTATCGTATATAAAAAAATTTGTTATCACCCGCGCTAAAAACAGAAATACGATTAAAAATTTGTAGAAGAATTTGGGATAATTTTAAATTTTTTTTCTTTTTAAGAAATTGAATATTCAGAGCTGCCAGCTACAAAGTTATATCAATTAATTTAATAATAATTAGTCCAATAATTTAATATCCAATTTATAATTTTGTTATTAAATATTTTTCGAAGATGGTTTTGTTTTTCTATAATATTTTAAAAATGCTTCTAGACGCTTGTATAAAAAAAATTTATAAGTAACAGTTAAATTAGTTATAAGCCTTAAGTAACTGCAATTAAATAAAATGACAAACTATGTACATATGTAGTATATATATGACACAAAATTCTATTGTATATTTATTTCAAATTCTATAAAGAACTTTGTACATATACTATATAGGATTAAAATTTCTTAAGTTGTCACTTGTTTGTCGTATTTATTTAATTAGAACTAAAAATAATGTTGATATTTCTGTAATGTACTTAATGTAAACTTCTATATAAAATTCTTAGTTTAAGTTGTATACAGACTTACACAAATACTAAGTAATGTTAGCTTCAGGAAGTTATAACATTATAATGTCTTTAGGTAGGTTAGGGTGACCAACGTGAATTCAATGTACATATAGTGTATGAACTCATTGGAAATATTGAAATGTTTCAATTAAAAATTTCAACCAATTCTATTCAATTACATACTTTATTTAATAGTAAAACAAAACCAGAATTCTTGCGATTCAATAGTGTGTATCTAAATTGGTGCTACAATTCTATTCGACAATGTAACATAATACATATGTATTATTTAAGGTTGTTTATGGCTTATTAATATAAAAAATTTTAAAATATAAAAATCAAATTCAATCAGCGAATATTAGCTGTCAAAATTTTTTAACTAAGTTGTTACTTTGCACCATTTATAAATTTTTGTTATGTCAAGAATCAATATACATAAATACTGCGAATTTGATTAAAGGATGATATTGCATACATTATATAGGAATATTATAATTACTCAATACTTGTATTATGAAATGATTACAATATGAGTATGATGTTGTCATTTTAACTAGCTCTTGTTGTATAAAGGAAAGACTCAAAAAGAGCGGATTTTCGCATTTTAAACAAAACAAAATGAATGTAGCGGGAGTAAAATGAGTTTATAATTTATAATTTAAATAAAAACAAAATCACTCAAAGAAAAACTCTAACTCTTAATGTCAAACACAAAATCATATTTCAGCATTGCCATATTGAATGAAAAAAATCATGCGAAACAAAAAAAAATTCAGATGCTGTTAAGCATAAAACGTTTGAGACGAAAAATGTTCCAAAATAAGTTTTAAAAAACAGAAATATTGCTACAAACAATCTTTGAGATTAGTTCTCTTGTGTCTAAAGTTAGCAATATAACACATGTTTACTTAATGTTTTTCCTTTTTCTGTATGCCTACAAATAAATTTTACTTCTAAACAAAGATAAAATATTTCAATAGAAATTCTTCCATTTTTTACGTGTTTGCAGTATAAACTGTCATTTAAAAATATGTTTTACCATGACTATTCACAACAATAACGTGACATAACTATAAGTGTGACAAAGTAAAAATAAAATTGAGTATGCAACATTTAACTATGTGACAATATTATGATCTATGCCATTTCAATAGGGAAAAACATATAATCTTCTTTACATATTACAATTATTGAGGGTGTAATATTTGTAATTCATTTTATTGTTAATATACGTATTATAGTACATATATATATTACTCTTGTATTATAACGTACGCTCTGAATATAACGTACTTATTAGAAATATGCACAACAAAATAGTACAACACATTTTTTCAATGTTATAGGGTATAACCGAATATTCTTCAGTTGTTGACATTTATATTGACAAAAACCTGAAATTAGTGGCAATGCTGTAACAAAATCTGACTTTTGAAATTGAGTGTGATTTTGTTTAGACGATTGAGTGATTTTAGGAAATATTTTTTGAGTGCATTAATTAAAGCAAAGCAAAGCAATTAAAGTAAAGCATCGGAGGTAGAATAAGTTTTACAGTTTAATTTCTATATAAAAATTTATTAAAAAGTTTTATGTGTTGATATTTTATTTAAAAATAAATTGTTTGTATGTTTTCTTAAAAATTACATTGTTGTAAAAGACTTCCTTTATTCGAAACCAACATTATTATTGATCTCATCGTCTCCAATACAAATTTACAAAGAAAATTAAAGGTGGGAAAAGTATTATAGAGAATTAGATATTTGGCGCTATTAAAAATTTTGGCAGGATATACAAAATTGTTTGAAGCTTGTAGGTAAGAAAATTATTTGCCTTTTTTTCGTTGTGATTTTAAATATTTGCAAATAAAAAAGATTTTAAGTAATTTTCTAGAAAAAAAACCAAATTTGTTTTTTTGTACAAATTTGTTCGTCTGATAGTGTTTAAATTTATGTGTGTATGTGCAGTGGTAAAACGTTTGAAAGCTTTTTATTTGATTTAAATTTGAAAATAAAAACCGTTAAAAATTTGTTCTAAGAATAAAGATTATATACACACACATAAGTATATGCATATGAACATACATAATGTTGGTAGTTAAATGCAAAATTAAGAGTTGCGGTTTAGTAATAACCATAAAAATTGAATTATTTGCCTATTATTAATTATGTTAATTGAGATTTTCTCTATTAATTCTTTACCTCCACCCACAATTATTAATCTTGCAATAACTTATGAAATTATAAAATTTATAAACTACCCTAAAGTCAACGTTTACAAAATTAAAGCCAAGCACTTTTTCAGCAAAAAATAATATACATACATTGTATATGTATATACATATGTATGTACATACGTACATAAATATATATTTGATAGTTAATAAACTTGACACAACCCATTTTTAGTTTTATTTTTTAGAGATTGTTACAAATTAATTATTTCATTGACTCTTCTAGTATTATATGTGCATACATACATTAATACATATTATGTATGTATGCACATTCATACAAGAACATACCTTTCTAACGTATATTGCCAAAACAAAGATTTAAAAATCGTTGTACTTAAATGTACCTACATTAATATCCAAGTATAATTTTGATTCACGTTTATATATTTTTTTTACAGATTTAACTGTTAACTAAGGCTTACGTTAAAAATGTCTGATTCTGAGAACGTTGAAACAAAGAAGCGAGGGCGAGTAGCAGCTGGTGACAAAGTAAGTAGAACAATGTAAAAAGAAATATATAAAATAAATAATCCTCAATGTTTTAGCGTGCTGCCTCGAAAAAAGAAGAAAAACAAGCGGTTACTGACGGAGAAACTGTAGCTAAAAGAGGAAGAGGAAGACCGAAAGGTTCAACTAAAAGAAATGGAAGTGTAAAAAAACCTGTAAAAAAAGCGGCATCAGCTGGTAAGGGTGGTGGAAGAGGACGTCCTGCTAAGAAAAAAGAAGATTCAACTGAAGAAGAGAATGAAGAAAATGATGATACTGAAGGAAATGATGAAAATGAATCTGGCTCTGATTAAATCTATATATAAAATGAAAATATATTAAATATAAGAAAGTACGTATGGATTAATTTAAGGTAAAAACAAAACAAAAAAAAAAAGGAAACAACAATGTAGATCTTATAGTATTATTTATTATGTCAAGAGAAAATATTATTTCTTAACAGAAATTTGAATAATATTTTCATATTTCCAACAAAAATTTAAAAAATGTATTTTATACAAAAAGATAGTAAATGAGTTTGTGTTTACTCGTTAAATATCTACATGATCAAAAATATATATATATAAACATTAAGACAAAATCGAATTTTATCAGTGTTTTGTTTTATATTTTCATATGTGGGTTTCTTGTACGGCTCATATATTGAAATATCAGGCAATAAAATTGGAAATTACTAAAATTAAATTAAATATGATATGTATCACATTTTTATAGTATGTATGTATGTACTTCATTTACGATACTGTAAGAAGAAAGTTATGTACACTGGATTTTTCTGTAATTGCACAAAAAACCTTAATGAATAGTAATGAAAGTATCGCAAATATCTTTGCATTGTGAAAGATTTCTCAATGCTTTGTTAATGCTATTTTTTTTAAATTTAATTTTTGTCAAATAAATCTCCCATATTTTCTAAGTTACGTTATCTATGGTAATGGGGTATTATTCAAATTTTTGAATTTTCCAGAATTAAATCAATTTCGAGTTTCTAAATTGTATATCAAGAATTTTAATAGGTACATACTTTGAATAATAATTCATCATTTCAAGTGATAAGTTATATACGAGTAAAATATTGATGAATGTGTTTTTGTTTTAATGTAGACGTTTATATTCTCATTCTTTTGCAAAAATACTTTTAATTTTGAAAAAAATCGCATAGAAAAATGTAAGATATCACAAATCTGAAAAAGTAAAATAAACTCCTGCAGATTTGCAAATTGCTAATAAATTAAACGATATCAAAATTTGCGTAATCCATCCTGAGAACCTTGGTTTTTCTAATTATGGTGTTGTAAGCCTAATAAAAATATGTATTTTATTCACCACATAGGCTAAAAAAATTATTTGATTTGGTATGGTTGTTAACTTGAATAAATGAAATTTTCTTATATGTTTCGTCGGTACACAAACCATATTTCTAAGTGGACTAAGCTTTATCAAATATTTAAACCCATAGGAAAATGATGATAAAGTAAGAAGGTAAAAATCAAATATATAAAACTAAACATAAAAAACTATAGATAATCTATATATAGTTTTTTATATGTATATGTATTCCAATTTTAATTCATTGAATAATTCGCTTCAAAAATAAGTACATAATTCTATTAATTTATAGCAAATTTTGCGTGTTATATGTACCAATAATATTTTAAGATAAAGGATATAATTCGTCGCCTTTATAATTTTTTACGCAAAATTAATAGTAAACTAACGTATTCAAGCCTACTACGCATAATTTTAAAACCCTGGAAAATGCAAAATTTTTCAAATATTGCAATTTCGACCTCTTAGAAATAAATTATTTATGGTTTTGGTTGAAAAATCGAATTTTGTGTCTCAACGCCTATAATTTCAATCGGAATAATGGGTAAATATTTTGTTTTCTATAGAAATAATTTTTCCAATATACTAAAATTTACTTTTACAATTTCAGCTTTCTTGTTGAAAGGAAATAAAAGTTTTTTTAAAGGAATAGACAAACGTAAAGACGGAAATTGAGTATTTCCAAAACAAATAAAATAGTAAAAAAAGGAAATTATCAATTGATTAGGTTGATTAATGGTATTCAAAATTATAAGAATATCGTTAAAGTACCATTCAATAGAGTTAGAATTTTCTATAATAAATAATATTTTTATAAATTTTAGAAATTCATACAAATAATTCGAAACATTATAATATTGATTTCCGTCCTGATATTTTGCATCCTCGAATATTTAACCATAATAATTAATCGTCTTTTATACAATTACAACAATTTTTTTGAATTCATTTTCTGTTTTGTTATCATAAATATCTACGTCAAATAATTTTTATGACGATATTCGTTAAGTTACAAAAAAAAAAAAGTATTAAAATTAATTTGTTTATTGTAAGGAGCAGTGTTCCCACTTGGTAAAAACAAAATGTATCCAATTTCGAGGAAAAAATGTATCCAAAATGTATCCAACCTCATAAAGCAGAATTTTTATACCAAGCCGTCCTATTGTTGGTTTTTTTATTTATAGTAAATTCTTTAAGAAATCACATACAACTTCTATTATATTTTAAATGTGTTAAAAGTTAAGGTCAGAAAAAACAAATGCATATATGTATGTATGTTGTTGCACTATGTGCTAAAGACAATTCACCATTAAAACGGAAAAATTTTAAAAAATATGTACAGCCAATGCATTTTCTATTACAACTAGCTTACTCCAAAATATTTCTGGTACGTTCTTGTCTAAATGTTCTAGATTTGAATACAGGAAGAGGCAGCACTCATTTAATAAAGCAGATTTCTTACTTTCTTCTAGTAAACTCGGAAATCTGCTTAGAAATGCCAGCAAATAACACTTTTGAAAGATAAAGCAATTACGCGTTTTAATATTAGCAGCATTTTAACAGTTTTGTAACATTTATTTAGTGTTTAGACAATAAATGTATCCATATTTCAGCCAAATTTTGAAATGTAGCCAATTTCGGCATTTTATCAGATTTGAGTATCTCTGTATCCAAGCTAAATTTAAAGCAAAAAATGTATCCAAATGGATACAATTGTATCCAAGTGGGAACACTGGTAAGGAGGCTCTTGTTTTCTCATAATAATAAAATAAATTTATTAATGATAAAAATCAGCATATCTATAACTAGCCATACAAATATGTGCTCTGTATGCTGTTGATTATATGCGAAAAATTTTTTTACAATAAATTACAAAATATTTTCTAAACCACATACGTACGTATGTACAAATGTAATTTAGTAGACGGTTGATTTTAAAATTTTTAAATTCAGATTTTATATAATACTTTTCATAAAAATTCATAAAAATTTTAAAATAATCTAGAATTAAAATTTTAGTATGTACATCCATTCATTAATTGAGCTAAAATACGATTTGTGTCCTGATATTTTGTCAAATTTTGTATATGCAAATTCTAATGTCAATTTTTATTTATTCAGCAATTGGAATTATATTGCTGAATTTATAGTGGATATTAGATCTGGATTAATATTATATTATGAATTGTGATAAACGCCTGCATTTAAATCGCATGGCAGGTATTTAGGTAAGTATTAGAGTAAAATAAAAAATTTTAAATAAATTATTTTTTTTTTTTAAAAATTCTCGAAATAATATTTTTGTTTTTTGTAGGAAACTAACTTATTCATATTACAATATTTTCAAATTGCTTCTTTTAATATTTTCATAATACGTACATATTATGATTTAGTTGCGTTGTTTTTCTTCTTCTCTATAGTATAGGTACATATTGTATTTTTTTATTAAATAATTTGTGAGCCAATTTTATTTGATTAAATTTATTTAATATTATGGGGACTCTTTAAAAATATTTATATATATGTATATATATATAAATATAATATTTTATTATAATATAATATTTATTATTATTTTTTGTGTTTTTTTTTATAGAGTAATGATATTTAAGAGGCTTTTATCTGAGTTAAATCATTCCTTATTAAGCCTAAACTAAGTACGAACAGGCACAGATTAAATTAAAATATATAGTTTAAGTGATGATTTAGTAACATTAAATTGTAACTTTAGTGATCTAGAATAAATTTCAATTCAGTTTTATTAGGACGGTCGTTTTGTCAAGAAGTGAAAAATTAATAAAAAAAGAAAAGGGAAAATATATCGGATCGGAATATTTTGGATATTTATATAAAATTTTGAATAAAATATATGCAATTATAATTATAATTGAATTATTAATAAAGGTAGTGCAAATAATTATATATGAAATTTAATTATTTTTTTTTTTGGATTGTTGTATTTTGAACTTATTAGTGTATTTGTATAAATATTTAATTGAAATTCTAATTAAAAATTTATTAGTTCCAGAAAGTCTGAAAATAATTTTCGAAATTTTTCTATCAGAATGAAAATTATAAAAGTGAATTTATATTTTTATATAAAAAAAAATTATTATATAAAATTATATAAAAATTAATTATTTAAAATTTAATTAAGTGTTAATTAAAATTTTAAAATTTTTATCTTAAATTTTACAAGTGCAACATATTAAAATAATTTCCAAATTACAAAATCTTCTTGAATCGATTCTATAATATTTATTTTTGGAAAAGCAAATCTCGAAAGTTTTTGTATTTGATTTTATTATAAAAAAAATAATTAATTTAATTTTTTAATCACTTCAAAATTAATTTTATGTAATTCTAATAATTACTTTGATAAATCACAAAAATCATATTTTAAAGACTGAAAGTTTATTTTTAATTTGATTTTTAATAATTAAAAAAAAATTACTTGAAATTTTAATTTTTAATTTAAATATTTTTATTATGATATTTTATGTAATTATTATGTGTTATGTAATTAATTCTGCTTAAATTTTAATTAGTTTAATTAAAAATTTTGCAATTTTGTTCCTTAAAAGTCCTTTTAAAATTTTATTGTTCTTCCTATTCAAGTAGCAAGTTTGCACATTTTTCTTAATTAAAAAAATTTTTTGTGAATATGTGAGCTATAAATGCTACTAGACGTAAAAAAATTTAAAGCTGAGTATTAAATAATAATTTTTAAAAGATCAGTTTTCTACAAATATGACAATATTTTAAAATATTTTTCTGAAAAATGCAAAAATTGAATAAATTTGAAAAATTTTATGGAGAGGTGTCTTAGTTAAAAAATATCCTTCACAAAAAAAATAAAATAAATGCAAACACTTTTTATTACAATTTTGTTGACTAACTTAGTGATTGATTTACAGATGCATAATCACTTGCGAATTTCAAAAAATGAAGGAGATTTTTTAACGAAATTTGCTGGAGTATTCACTGGTTTTATTAATTTCTCAATAATAGACTCAAGATTATGTACTTTTACGGTATTTCATTTATTGATTAGATTTGCATTCAGTATATTTTTTATTGAAGAACTACAAACTTGTAGTGTTCGATTTTGAAGTATTGTTTTGTAGCATGTTCATGAATATGGTGCAAGTAAAATTTTAAAAAAGCTTTACCATATTTAAGCAGTTTAAAAAATTTCATTGCAAAAGTGATTCTTGACATAAAAATGTCGGACATTGAAGATTTACTAAAGTAAATTGTTTAAATTTTTAAGTCAATTTTAAATTTGTCTTTTTTTTTCATTTACTTAATTATTTCATTCCTGAAATAATTGCGTTTTACGCCAATCTTTGTATTACTTCAAATATTGCAATAAAGAATTTCTAATTAAGAACTTGCAGTGCATTAGGCAATACCGAAAAAACCCTATTTTTCATTTCGATAAATGCTAAAAGTTCGTGGTTACACATACATATATATGTAAAATTATAGCCAAAGTAAGTTTATCTTTGAATCTAGTATTTTTTTAATAAATACATAATACAAAGGATCTAATAATCTACGACATAAGCATTGTTGGATGCCTTTAGTGGTGTTTAAGTTAATTTCAAATGCTCTGAGTGGCAACGGGTAAGTTAAGTTTAAATAATTTTAAAATGAGAGTAACGGAGAACTTTGAATTTTTCTCTCTCAGTTTTGTTGAATTTCATTTCTCATTATTTTGAATTTGAGTATCCTTAATTAATCATTTTGTGTTTTACTTTTATTTGTATTAATTAAATTGGCATAGCATTTTAGAAACGATTGCTTACATTATAATAATAAAAATATTAATGTTTTATAATTCTATAAAATTTCATATATATACCTTAAATAGGTATACACGTAAATACTATTTATGTAAAGTGGAAATTATGATAAGTTACTAAATGTGCTCACTAGGGGTGTTGTTATTTTGTAGCTTTTTCCTGTTATTATTGTTTTTTATAATTTTGTTTAGTATAATTGAACTTTTTCTTATGGTAAATTTCGTACAATATAATATTATTTATGAATTTTAATATACATCTACATATACAAATGTTCTTGAGAATAAATTCGAAATAAATGTACTTCTAATAGTATACATATTAGAAATCATTAATTTGTTTAACTTTTTAAAGTGATTTCGCTTCGCCTGAATGAAATATTAAAACTTAATATATACATTAAATTCTCATACAGGCTTTTCCTAAAATTGAATAATCGAAATTTGTATTTAACTAATAATTTAAAAGTGTTAAATAATATGCTTACTATTTGTTTCTAACATTTTATTGTTTAGCAAGTCAAATTATTAATTTGTCATGGTTCATACATTGCTCACTATTTATAAAATTTTCAAAAAATATTAAAAACAGTCTCTTAACATTAATTTTATCAAATATAGGTATATAAATTTCGTTTATTTTATCATTGTTTTACGAAAATGGTGATCACTGCCACTTAGAGCGATCTCACTAATTTTTTGATACTAAAAATATTTTCACTCTTTAGATTCTGTTTTAATAACTAGCATGGTTTTCAAAATTCACTTTTGTGAATCCAAAATACCCCATGATCTATTTTAAATAGCATGATTTTCAAAAGTGATTTTTCAATCAATCCTAATTATTGTGGGGTATCGCATGCGGCGCAACATAGTTTCTCATTAACCGTATTGGTATAATTTTCTTTTAATTCTTCTAATGAGAAAAAAGAAAACTTTTTGAGTGTTGTCAAAACCTGTGAAAACAATAAATTTCCAGTTCTTAGATATAATAGAAAAATAATTAGATGACGAGATGCGAGATTTTAATAATTTTATAGTCACTTTAACCAAAAACTTTAAATTTCAAATTATAGAAGACTTATTTTGTGCCTGTATAGGTTTTAAAAGTTATGAAAATTGTTAATTAAACAATTTTTATCGATTTTGTTGCATATAAAAAAGAAGGTATTGTGATCGCATCAAATTTTAAGAGACGCGACGCCTGCTCTTGGCGTCTTAAACAGTTTGAATATAAAACGCTCATTGTAAGTGACATAAATTGTATAATATTATATTCTAAATTAAAGTTTACTAAATTTGTAATAAATATTTTTATATAATATTTTAGACTTGTTTCAGTAAATTATAGTCTAAGAAATTTATTTTTACTGTACGTATGTATTTTATTTTATAAACATACGTAATAATTTTGCAAACACTTGCGTCACATTGTGTTTAGCTCTATTAAGTGTGTATGATAGGAATTTGATGAAAATCGAGTTCTTGAATGAAAATATAAATTTCAGGAATATTTGAAATAAGTTAAATATGTTATTTCTAACTCTTATCTTATGGTTTCGGTCATGGACTGATCACATTATAATTTTAAGTGTATATAAGAAAAAAATGAATCAATCAATTCTTTTTTTTTTGTACTACATAATTTGGTGTAAATAAAAATTCTTCTAGCACTTGGATTACAATTTCTTAAAACAGAATAGTTTTTTGTTTTTTAAATTGTTTTCGCTATAAAAAGGAAAAAAATTGAAAAATTTGTGAGCAAGAATGTTTTTTATTTATCTTTTTTTATATAATTTAAACTTACATAATAATACGGAAATTGGAAATATACTATTGAAAAATTTAATTTCTTAATGAGTTTGGAAACAAAAATTTTACTTGATCTACCAAGGAATTGGCAAAAAAAAATATTTTAGATGTTATAACAAATTGACTGTCTAAAGCAACACTTTTTTAAGTCTATTTGCCTGTTAATAATTTTTTTATTATTAACAGGCAAATAGCCATATCCTATATCGATAGAACATATTGAACGCCAGAGTGTATACGTTTTTTTGTACTATCGCTCCGCGTAAATGAAATGTAAAGAATTTCCAAATTTCAAAATTTTTATTAAAATCTTTTCGCTCATCACATTATTAATATTTTTTAAAAAATTTTATTTAAAACGAATGTATACAAAAAATCTCTTACAAGAACTATAATGACAAATAAATTTCGACCAATAATTTGTTATCCTAAAAAATTTCTGAATTGTGTTTTAGAATATTTTTGTTCTGGACCGGCGCTGTTTTACCTTGTAATATGAACTTTTTATTTTTTTTAATTTTGGAAATTATTTCATTGGAAGTTAATGTTTGATGTATAGTAATTATACTTTATAAGTATATTATGTGCAACTGAGAGACTAACAACATCTTCGTTTTATGATTCATTAAATATATATATGAGGGAGATCAAATAATAATCTTATATTATACATATAATGTACATAGTTTGAATATTAAGTATAATTATATTAAAGTTTAGTTTATTCAGTATGATTATTGCTTTGCAATTAATAAAATTAATTAATGTACATTTATTCTTATATATAAAGGTACACTTATATTATGTACTTTACAACTAGCAGAACTAAGTTAATCTTATAGGAATAATAAAGCTTTGGTTATGCTTATATGAAAATTTAAATTTATGTAATTATAATTATGAAGAAAGCTTATTTTACGAAAATAAAAACATAATAATAAAATTTATTTAAATTTAAATAAAATTCTTTTAATTTATTTAATAAATCAAGTCTCAATTAAAATTTAATGCAATTATAAAACTGTAATATTGCAGTATACAATCTTCTCATTTCATCTCAAAACAATTAACTAGAATATTAATTTAGAAATGCGTGTAAAATTACAATACTATATACACATAGATTAATAAATATTTTAAAATTAAAATAATAAATTTTAATCTTGTGTCATTTATCGTATTTGTATAGTTATAATAATAAAAATAATTAATTAAAATTCAATTGTGTGTAAGTTTTGTGTAAATTTTGTAAAATTGTGAAGAGATTATAATTTGAATTTTAGTCGATTATGTTAGTATTTAACTATTTTTTCAAATATTTTTGTACACAAAACAACACAATCGCCAATTAATTAAATGAATTTTTACATTATATGTAAATAAATAATATCAATTTGTCAATTTAAGTGCACGTAATGTACGTGAGAAAATGAAGAAAAAATATTTATCTGTTTAGTTAGATAAATAATTTGGATGTGCTCTTTAGATAATTGTGAATTTTTTTTAATTTAAACAGGCTTTATTACATAATTATGTTAATAAAAATGGGCTTTAAATCTTTTAAAGTAGATTTGAAATCAGATTAATATTATGTAGAATTGAATCCTGGAATTTCGAAAACAAAACTTGGAAATATAGTATGCCTTTGCAAGAAATCATTTAAATTAATAAAATTCGGTAAAATTGTTGAATAGTTATTATAAAATAGCTAAAGTTCATATTGAATAAATTGACTTAAAATTATCAAAAAGAACAAACATTATGTCATATTGACAATAATGACAATAATGATAAAAGATTTATGTCATTTACCATGTCGTTTCAAATCAAATAATATTCAAAGATTTCAAATTCAAATTTTCAACAATACAATTTTAATTGCTTATTTCTGAACAATCACAATTTTTTATAAATTTGGTCTCTATTTCATTAGAACATTTTGCAACAACATGTTATATTATACTTAATGGACGGGATAAATTATGATTTTCATTTTATTCAGATAACTGAGAGAGAGAGAAGCTCAGATTTGTATTTAATTAGTGATAAGAGCAAAAAAAAAAACTCTTTAGTTTTATTAAATCAAGAAAAAAAAATCCGTGAGATCACTGATCCAAGGTAAATTTTAAGATTAGTTAGTAAATGAAGCTCTTCCAGAGTTTATTTGTTCTGTTGTTATTTCGGAAAAAAATTTCTATTAAAGTAAAGTTAAAATAGAAAAAAACAAAAAAAGAAAATATTTTTTTAAATTATTTGTAAATTTGATTTTAATTTTGTAATTGCTATAAAAAAAATCAAAAAAAAAAAAATTTTAATGGCTTTCCAAAAATTGTTATTTACACTTAGCCATATTATAGCTTTATTAATTGCCGAATTTTCTTGTGGATCTGTTGAAAGTTATGAGAATGGATTAAAAATTGTAAATACCGTAAGTATATACAACGCAAATTAATTGTCTTATATAACAAATATATTTGAGATTGAAAAAAAAAAATACCATTTGTTTTAGACGGGCTTTAGAATAACACCATTATGTAAAATGGAAATTCATCAAATCAATGATACACAAATAATATGGCCAGAAACTAGAAAACGATATACAATATCAGAGCCACCATGTTTTCATCAAATTAATAAATCATTAATAATTCGTGAATGTACATTAAATGGATGGAAAACAAATTTTGATTCAAACACATGCAATTTTTTATATAAAAATTTATTTTGTCCCGATGATTTTCATGAATTTTCAACCAAATATGGTTTATTATGTTTAAAAATATCAAAATTTAAAGAAATATGGAATGATAAATTATGTTATGGTTCTGATAAATCAATATTTGATTTAAAATCAAATGAACAATCAATTCTATTCAAATATTTTATTGATAAATTAAAAACAAATGAATTTTGGTTACCAGTAAAACGTTATAATTATTCAGAAAATTTTAATAAATTTTTTCCAATTTTATGGAGATTACCCGGTGAAAATTGGGGACATTTATTTAAAAAACATTATTATGATCACTTATCTTATAATGAATGTTTGGTCTTGAATTTTAATCATACAAATATAATCTCAGTTAGTATGACTAATTGTACAACAGATAAGATGAAATATAATTTATGTATATTTGATAAAATAATTACAAAAGTATCATGGTGTCCAGAATCTACACCTTATATTCGTTTAGATAAACCGAATATTTGTTTTGGTATTGGATCCTACAATGTTGATATTAAGCATAATGAAAATTCATATGATTTTTTTCTTAAAAATAAACCAATTGTAAATTATTTATTTAGAAAGTATAAATTAAGAGATAGTAAAATATTTTTAAAACGTTTTATAATTAATGATAAAAATGGAGAAAATAATTCACAAAATTTATTAATAACACAAGATGGTACTATAAAAATTGAATCAGATATGAATTTAAAACAATTTAATTATTTTAATTTAAATATAATCAATTTAAAACAAATTCATAAAGTTTCAATGAAATTAGAATTTTATGAAATTAATAAAAAATTAATATTGACTGTATACAATCGAAAATATATTTTTAGATTAAATTCAATTGAAAATGATGAAGATTCAAGTCCAGATTCGGATGAAATTGGTATTAGTTGTTTTACAAATTCCGATCATGATTTAATAAAACGTGTCGAAATAAAAGATTTAATATGGGAAAATGAAATGAAAACGGAATCGTTATTTGAATTGAAATTATATGGTAAAGGTCCCGGCGTATATTGGTGTGAAGCTCATACAATTTATGATTTTCAATTAATTGAAAGTACAAAAGTGATTGCTACTAAAAAAATTAAAGGTAATAATTTTGCATTTTTTATGCAAATGCCATGCAATATCATTGAATGTAATGAAATCTTATTTAATATGAAAGAAAATTCAAAAAAAATTGAAAAAACTATAAAATCTGCAAGAAATTTTAAGCAATTTATTAAAAATTTATTTAAACCATATGATATCGAAAGTGTCAAAATAATGGGAATCGAAGAAATCCTACCGAATGGAATTATAAAATTTATATGTCATGCTGTTGTTTCAGATAAATTTTTATTTCATGATGACAGTTCTGAAGAGAGTAGTGAAGAAATTTTAACATATCATCCTAACATGGATCATAGAACTTATACAAGAATTCGGATGCGAGATTATTTAATTGAAATATTAAATAATATTCCAAATAATAATCAAAGTTTTCAAGTGAATAGTACAGATTATTGTTTGGGTGATATTTCCGGCAATCAATGGAAAACTGTTGAACGTGGTAAAATGGCAACAACACATGAACTTTGTATTTTGAAAAATGGTTTACTTAAAATAAGAAATTGTATTGGAGATTTTATATATGGTGCAACATGGCAAAATCTAACACAACAAAATGATGTTTGTATAAAACAAAAATTATATTCTTTAATAACGAAAAAACTGTATGAAATTGAAAAATTTGATCCAGCAAAAGATTTACCATCAAAAGTTTTAAGTAGTGTTCATCAAACTTTAAAAAATATTCAAAATCAAAAAAATATAACAATAATAGCAGCAGATATTTATTATTTAGGACAAATATTTCAAAAACTTAAAAATGAAATTATAAAAACTAGTAGATCAATTGAATCATCACAAAATGAAACCAATCACCAAATAGATTTGAAAAGTTCAGCAAGAAAAGCTACTCGAATACAATTTACACAAGAATTTATTAAACATGTTGTTGAATTCAATGAGATTTTTGATTATTTAATGGATTTTAATAAGACAACAATGATTTTATCAGTCAAATTAAATTCTACAAATACAATTTTAGATTCATTTGAAAGTATAATCGATTCAATATCAACAATTCAAAATAATTATTTGAATGAAACATTTGAAAATTCGATTAATAATTTTACCGATATTTTATTATTTGATCAAACCAATAAAAGTTATTCAGATTTAGGAGTTTTCTTACAAATCTATTCAAATGTTATGATTTTTACAATTGATCCAATTATTGCTAATATTACTGGAATTGTAATTTATTCAGATTTAAATACATTTAATCAAAACATAACATTTCTTAATTATGAATACGATTTTTTATATAAAAATCAATCTAAAGAAGAACTTTTAGAAAATGAACGATTAGAGGTGGCTTCATTTTTCCCAGAATCACTTTGGAATCGAATAGGAGAAATCGATTATTTAGCGAATAATACAAGAGTAATTGAAAGTATAAGACCAAAAATTGTAATAAAAATATATCGTAATGATGCACTTTTCATAGAAAATCGTGAAATTACAAATTTTAAAGTTAATAGTAAAATTATAAGTATTTCAATACCAGGCTACTCAAATAAACTACCAGATACTTTACCGATTTTTATGAGAGATTATCAATATGAAGATATTAATAATGAAACTGGTAAGAATACAAAACATTGTCATTATTGGAATTATGGAAATTGGGAAAATGATGGTATACGATTTGTTAGAAAGACCCATCATAATATTGCTAATGAAACAATAATAATGGAATGTGGAACATTACATTTAACACCGTTTGCATTTTTAGTTGGTGGAACATATAATTTATCAGTTTCAACAGATGATGTTACAATTACACCAATTCATGAAGAAGCTTTAGATATTATTACATTATTAGGATGTTCTTTATCAATAATCGGTGTAATTGGTATATTTATGACAGCTTTAGTATTTAAATCATGGCGAGAAAAAGCATCAACAAAAATCCTATTACAATTATCAATTGCAATTATGTTACAAATGATTTTATTTTGTTTTATTAATACTGAAGTATTAGCATCACATTTAATTGAAATGAGAATATTTTCAAGTTGTATAATTTTAGGTGCTCTAATGCATTTTTCAATTTTAGTTCAATTCTCTTGGATGTTTATTATAGCATATTTACAATATAAACGTTATGTTCAAGTATTAGGTAATAAAAGACCAAATCGTTTCCTATTAAAATCATTTTTATTTGGTTGGATTGTACCAACAATACCGGTACTATTAATAATTTTAATTGATCGTGATGCATATATTCCAGTTGATAAATCAAAAATATGTTATCCAACTGGAGCAGCACTTTATTATGGAACATTATTACCGATAGCAATTGTTGTATCAGCTAATTTTATAATATTTTTTATTATTTTCATTAATTTATTACGTGGCAATGGTGTTAATTTACGACATACGGAAAAGAAAATAGCAATGTCACAATTAAGATTATTAATATTATTATTCTTTTTATTGGGATTAACATGGATATTTGGATTTTTATCAACAATGCGATTTGGTTTAGTATTTTCATATTTATTTTGTTTAACAGCAACATCACAAGGATTTGTTTTATTTATATATTTTGTAATATTAGATCCGGTAACTAGAAAATTATGGATTAGTTATATAAATGATATTGGTAATTTTAGAAAATCAAAGCAAAATCCTTAATTTATTATATAAAATTTAAATGTGTACATAAATATTTTAAATTATTTAATTATATAAATGTATGGATATGTAGTTTATAAGATTATAAATATTTTTTAATTAAATTATCAGCGAAATTTTAAAATTAATTTATTTATATTTTAAATTGGAATTGTATTATAAAATATTTTGAATCAATTAAAACGCATTTATAAAAATATTATTTTGAATTTAGATTTTCGATAAGGAAATTTAGAAAAAAATTTCCTTTAGATTTACAAATATCGAAACGCAGCTCCATTTTGATGATGCGAATGCTCGATTATCTAAAAATTAGTTATTGAATAAATCTAGTTTTAACAGGAAATAAACTGATGAAATATAAAACTTACAAGAATAGTAGTAAATATAAAATTATAAGAAAAATTATAAAATTATAAGAATTTTTGATTTGATGCACAAACAGTTTTGTAGTTTAAATCTCGCTTAGATAATCATCTTTTTTATTTTGAATTATTGACAAAATATTAAATTATTTTTATTACCTTACTTGAATTGGGACCTTTAGGTTTTTCGTTTTACTCTTATAGGATTCGAATATATTTTTAAGCCTCGAACACAATTCTAATACAACAAATTTGGGTATATTGTTTTATTGTATGTAGATATACATAATTTAATCTTTGCCCTGTAAAATTTTGTTTTAAGAACCTCAAAAACTAGATTTTAACTTCAAAATTAATTAAGTAATTTGGAATTAAGCAATTTTTGGTAAGTTAGTTTCCGCAACTTCAATTAGGCAGATATATGCGCTATAAGTGCAACACTACTATACGTTTATAATGTGATATGCATTGCATTTATTGACATTGCATATAAAGTTCATGAATTGCGGTGTTAACACAAGAATAAAATGACATTTGCCACCATTTAATATTTTATATTTATTGTAATTTTTTACTAATTTTTTTTTAAATTTTTGTATATTTACGTTACTGTCACATCAGTTGTGATTAAGTCAAAATTAATCATGTATAAATTTTGCTATGCCCCAAATACTCATTATACATATGTGCACATTTTATAAGCGTATAACAAACTACATTGAATTTTGGACTTTGAAAATTTTCGGGCATACATAAAATATTGAACACTAGACTTTGTAATAGTGCGCCATATCTGCACAATTGAAGTCAGGCAACATATACGTATGTATGTATATTGCAATTTGATATTTTTACAAAACTCTTATATACATACACACACTTATTATACATTGTTTACAATTGTTGTATTTTTCGAAAGTTTTATCATCATTCAAGAAATTAAAAAATGTTTAATGGTAACTATATATATGCAATTAATTTTTCTTTGAAAAGAATTCGCCCAAATATAGGCAAATTTTTGTGTTTTTAAAATGAATAACCTCTCGCAATATTTAATTTACCGTTCGTGTTGGACGCTTATAATTTTGCTTCCTTCAAGGAAAACTGTTATACATATATTTGTAATTAAATATTTTTTAGGAACCTACAGTTTGTAATCACACGACGAACTAATATACTTTATAAAACTTTTGCATTTTCAGACCGTTGTTTAACATCATGAAGTTTCTAATACTTCTACTGGCCGTAGGAATAATTCAGTCGTTAGCAAATGCTTTTATAATTGATGTAAGATTTTTTAAATGAATTTTTTTTGCATTTTTTCATTCATAAAAATATTTTATATATAGACTCGGCAAAAAAGAAGTATAGATTTATCAGCATCTCATGCACTAATTCCGGACGCTAGATTATCGAAAGATGTGATTCCAACCAGTTATGTTGTTAATATTCGACCAAATTTAGATGATGGAACTTTTATGGGCGATATAAAAATGAATTTAAGTTGGAATGATGAAACGAAAAAAATTTCACTTCATGCTCATTTCGATTTAGAAATTAATGAAAAAGACATTAAGATTAGAAAGCTAAAACGAAAATCAAATGAGTAAGTCAAATTTAATTAAAAAAAAAAAAAAAATTTGAAAAAAATTATATTTGAAATTTGTTTTTCTAAGCAATCAAAATGAGTCCGACGATAAAGAAGAATATATTGGAATCCAAAGAGCTGATAGAGTTGTCAAAAAAACCGTATATGTTATTCATTTGACTGAACCCATACCACAAGGTAGTGAATGTGAATTAGAATTGAAATTTAGTGGTAAAATTTGGGAAACAACTGAAGGATTATTCCAAGGATCATATATGGACTTAAAAGGTGACAAACATCAATATTATGCAACATACATGAGACCACATAACGCTAGACGTTTATTCCCTTGTTTTGATGAGCCTGGATTTAAGGTTACTTTGTTTACATGTGAAAATAAAATATTTCTTTTAATAAAATTTCTTTTATTTCTAGGTACCATTTAATGTTAGTATTTCAAGACCGAAAAGTTTCGTAACATTATTTAATACACCAGTGGAACGTTCCGTGGAATTGTATGCATAATCTTAAAATATAATTGATTTCTTATAAACTTTTAAATATTTTAGAAATGACGAGAAACTTAAAAATTATGTTGTCGATTATTTTGTTCCAACACCACCAATGTCAACATTTACTTTTGGTTTTCTCATATCACAACTTCAAGAAGTTCCAGTTACTAGCGCAAAAGCTGCTGGAGAATCAAAAAAACCTGCAATTAAAATATGGGCAAGACCAGATGTTCATGAAGAAATGTCGGTAAGACAAATATATTTTGTCCCGTATATTTTGTCAATATATATCTGTATTTGGTATTCATTTATTTTTGGTTTTTTTTTGGAATTGTAAAGGAAATGTTCGAAAAAGTTGAACAAGTTTATAATACATTAGAGAAATATTTCGATGCTCAAGTACCTCTAACGAAAATAGATGTTGTTGCTGTACCTGGAATGTCAGTAGTTCGACCAGCTGACAATTGGGGTCTCATTTTATTCAAGTAAGAAATATTTAAAAAATGAATTAGAATTTTTTGTTCAATTTAATAAAATTTTCTCTTTTAATTAATTTTTAAAGGGAAAGTGAACTGTTGAAAAAGGGATACTACGGATTATCACAAGAATTAATTTATCAGTGGTTAGGTTCATGGGTAACACCATATTGGTGGAGTGATGCTCATGTTAATAAGGCTTTGGCTAGCTTTTTAGCTTCCTATAATGTTATTGAGGTAATATAAATTTTTGATTCAGTTGGTTCCTATTTCACTTATTTTGTTGTTTTGATTTAATTAGATTGATAACGGAGTTGAATTCAATGGAAAATATCCAATGACTGTGCTATACTCGTTATATTATGAATTTAGTAAAAGATATCCTCATTCAAGAATAACAGCAATGAAACAAGAAACAACATCATTTAAAACAGAACTAGTTATGAGAATGTTAAATTATACTTTGGGTAGTGAAACATTCAAAACTGGTTTAAGAAAATTCATAGCAAATCGTCATTTTAGTACATTCTTTGGTGATGATTTATGGGATGCACTTACTAAACAAGCTCACGAAGATCATAAATTAGCAAATAAATATACAATAAATGAAATTGCTGGATCATGGATAACAAAAGATCGTTTACCAGTTGTTAATGTTCAAAGAAATTATGCAGATAAAACAGCTAAAGTTACACAAAAAGTTTATTTACGTGAAAGACCACATGATGTACCAGAACAAGATAAAATGTTATGGTGGATACCATTAGTTATTGTTGAACAGGATAAACTTAATTTTACAAATTCAACACCAAAATTATGGATGGAAAAAGTAAGAGAAATTACAATAAATAATTTACCAGAAGCAGAGAAATTTGTTATTGTAAATCCTGAAGAGATTGGGCCATTCCCAGTTAATTATGATGAGAAAAATTGGAATTTATTAGCTCAATATTTGCAAACAAATGAAGGAAGAACTAAAATACCAATTTATACAAGGTTTGTAGCCTATTCACAATAAAATAATTTCAATTTTAAAAATAATTTATTTTTTTAAGAGCGAAATTATTACACGATGCTTGGAATCTAGCTTATGCTGGAGACTTAAGTTTTGCAACTGCTTTCAATATGACTTTATTTATGCTATCGGAAAGAGATCATTTAGCTTGGAATCCTGTTTTTACATTTATTGACCATATTGGACGTCACATTGATATGTCAGCTGTACATAAAAAATTCGAGGTAATTATAACATGACACAAAGAATTCAAATTCATTAAGAATTTCTCTCCTTAAATTATTTAATTTTATTTGAAATTCTTGAACGTACCATATAGACATATGTAAGAATATTACTTACACCATTATATGAAGAGCTTGGAGTTCAACAAGAAGGTGAAGAAACTTGGAAAACTGATTTAAGAGCATTAGCAAAAACTTTCTTATGTAGAGCTGGTTATCGTCCATGTATTGAAGAAGCACAAACTGCTTATAGAAAATGGATGGAAAGTGAAAATCCAGATGAAGGAAACCCGTAAAAATAAATCTGTAATCAATAAACATATTTAAAATTCATTAAAATATTTCTTTTTTGATTATAGTGTACCAAATCAATATATTTGTCCGGTTTTCAAATGGGGAACACAAAAAGAATGGGAATTTGGTTTACAAAGAGTTATAAATTTCCCAGCATCACGTATTCAAAGTGAAAGAACTTATCTATTGAAAACATTAGCTGGATGCCCAGTACAACCAGAAAAAATTGAAAGACTTTTGAATTTAACTATATTAGAAGAGAATGGAAATTTCACAGAAAATGATATAGTATTAATATTTAGTATGCTCACTGGTGGTTCAAGCGGTTATACAACTTTATTCAATTTCCTACAAAATAATTGGGATGTTATTCGTGAAAGGTATTATATTTAGTTTCTTAAGTAATATCGCACAAGTCAGTGCACATACATAAACTTGTTGGAAAATTCATCTTTTAATTTTAAGAACTTCATAAGCTTTGTGATCTTCAACCTTAATTTTAAATTATTGCAGTTCTAGTTTTGAAAAACTTTTAATGATATTTGAATTAAAAAATTCTTTATATTTTAGATTTGAGAATAAAACAAATCTTTGGGATAATCTAATCAGTGCTGCTACTGGAGTATTTACAACACAAGAAGGTTACGATATGGTATCGAATTTATATGTTCAAAAACAAGGTGAATTTGGTAGTGCTGAACACATTATTGAAAAATCATTACGTAATATCAAAGAAGAAACAAAATGGAGTGATGAAAATTTACCAATTATTGAAAAATGGTTAGATAATTTCCTAAAGACAATGAATAAAGATGAAAATAAATTTATGGGTTAAAATTTAATTGAAAAATTCAATTTATTATTAAAATATTTGTTTTTATTTTTATTTGATTTTGTAAAAATAAAATAATTAGTACATGTTTTATGTTACGTATATATATATGTATATATATATACATAATATATACATATTAATATTAAAAAAGAAAACTCACTCTTTTATAAAAGGGATAAAATTACAAAATTGTGTAATAACAGTTAATAAGAATAAAAAGTAAAATTAAGTAAAAAATTTACTTTAGATTTGTATAAAATTTGTTAAAAGATATTCATAATTTTTTTTGTGTAATTTTTAGATGAAATAAAATCTACAAAACCAATTCATAGTATTTTTAGTTTTAGGATCAACTCCTTATATTTTGTTTGTTTAACTTTAAATAAATGAGATTAGAATTCAAATTTTAAATTTTGAAATATCATTATCTTTATAGTAGGAGCCTTATCAGATTAAAATATGTGACAAATTTGTTGAATGAAAACAAAATGTTTAAGATTAAGTGAACCAGATTTTTAGGTTAGAACAACATATTTTTAGATGTCTTGAAGCACCAATATTTATAACCTGGCAAATGAAATCAAGTGCCAATGCTGAATTCTGGAAATTCATTCGAATTGGTTAGCCATTCGCTTTGCTGTTTTCTATTATGTTTCAATATTAGAGAAATTAAAATTTAAATATTAGAGAGCGATTCAATGCTTTTGTTTTTTTTCGCGATCTTTTTAAAACAAAATTGTATGATTAATTTTGAAACTGACCCATTTCATTAATTTTGAAATTGACCCATTTCCCTAATGAAGCCCATTTGTAATTTTAAAATTCTTTTATTTCCAAAGCAATGATAATGTCAGTAGTTGGAATTGAAATTTATAGTCAGATAGGGAAATAAATATATACATACATACTATAAAATAAATAACAGAATTGTTTGTTGCTCTAGACCCAAACGGACCCAAATATTTCATTTTTGATTAAAATGAGTTTAGGTCACTTTCAAAATAAATCATTCAATTATGGATAAAGCATTAACAAAATTATATCTTTGCAAATCTTGGTACATCAAAAAATGTTATATGTGATACGAGTATATATGTATCAAAGAACCTTATAACCTAAATGTTATAATTATACAAAAAAAATTGTAAACAGTGAAAAATTTTTTCATTTTAAAATAAATTTACGTTTTTTTTTAAATAAAATAAAATATTTTAGATTTCACAATCATCTTTTAGTAATAAATGTGGAATAAAGCCGGTTCAAAAAAAGCTTACCTGAACCTATGCATTCGAAACCAATTTTTCTGATATTAATTCTATTTTTTTCTGAATACTTGTAAAGATAATTTCAATATTATTTGCATGCGTATGCAGATGCACTTGATGACACAATTACATTTTTCAAGGAAGTAGGGTCACACAATTTTTGATGTAGAAGTTTATACGTATACGATGCCAAATTCCAATTAACAACTAAAGTAAAATATTTTTAAAAAAATATTAAACAATGATAATGACATTTTTGTATGTCAAGTTGACAGCAAAATTTAAATTTAATTTAAAAAATTTTTAAAATTTTATAGAAAAAAGCAGGTATGTATGTATGTACAAACATAAGATGTATTGAGATTTAGATGGAGAAAATTTACAGTAATATTACTATATAAATGGACTGGGTATTAATTTTACACTTACAAAATATCAGAATGTCAGTTCATTAGCCCATCTCTGCACTCTTGTATCTTCATTCACTCTTATTCGATTTTAATGAAAATATAATATGTTACCAAGTTTATATGCAGCTTCAAACTCATTTCAAACAGATTTTTAGCTCATATAAATGCAACTTGACTTGAAATTTTCAAATGAAGTCGATTCGATGAAATTATAAGCTTCGACTGCATAATGAGGGGATTGTAAGATTGAAAATTATAAATTAATATTAACTTGACAAATTAATATAAACTCAAGTCGATTTCAAGTAATATTATTTTAATTTGTATTGTGTATACATACATACGTAGATTGCAATTTCAAGACAAGTACTCGATCCGCCATGTATAAATGAAGTGTGTGTGTGTATGCATATTTTAATTTGCTTTATGAACACAATAAATTGATTATTTGTGTCTTTATGAATACCTATAGTTTCATTATCTTTATAGAGCCTGCATATTTTACATTTTTGCTCATACTTTTAAAACAACATTTTTTTTTCTCACTCCACTTAAGAGCATTAGGATCTTTTTCTAGAATTTAAAGTCAAGTATCAGTTTTATAAGTCTATGAAATAAATCAGCGGTGATTGCTGTAGTTTTTTATTTATATTAAATACTGAAGGTTATTGATTTTTATTGCTTATTTTTTGTTAGCATTCGATTTAACACATTTCGATTAATAGATTTAATAGAAATTTTAAATACTTGAAAGAGCAGAAATTTGAAATTCGTTAAATTTTTTTTGAACTTTGTGTGGATATCGCTATAGAAAGCAGAACCTGTATAAATAATTGGAGGTGTGTACATATCTGTGAAGTAACGAGTTATTTCCTATAATTAAGTGTAATTTTGGTAAATATTTGGAACCCCGCTGAAAGTATTGATGTTTTCAATATATTTGGATTTAATTTTAAAGGTTCGCAGCAGCATTTTGTGAATGAATTGGTTGTTGAAATCTAGACTTGATTGTCGAATTCAAGGTAGTACATTTAATTAATTTTTATACTTGAATTATTAAAAGAAATATATTGAAACAGTTTGAAATATTTTTTTTCGTGTTTTTATTAGTATTTTTCAAAATATTAAAAATACAAAAAAACCCTCTTAAAAAGCTTTTAATTAAAATAAAAATTGCAAATGTGAATCAAAATGAGAAATAATAAATACCTACTATTAATTAATGTAATATTTGATTTTTTAGTTCTTTTTTTTTAAAATTAAATATTATAAAAAGAAAATTTAAGATTTTTATTGCAAATTAAGAACAAAATCGATTTGTTGTCATTTTTGTAAGCTTTAATTTTAATGCGCTGTCATTTTGTTCTTATTCTACTTTTCTTTTTATTTCGTTTTTATGTAAATTGTTCTGTTTTTTTTTTTTTGTTGGGTTCGTTTAATATTCATCACCTTCTCCAACTTCTTCTGTTGAGTCAACACCAACTTCTTCATAATCTTTTTCCAATGCAGCCAAATCTTCACGTGCTTCAGAGAATTCACCTTCTTCCATACCTTCACCAACATACCAATGTACGAAAGCACGTTTTGCATACATTAAATCAAATTTATGATCAAGACGTGCCCAGGCTTCAGCAATAGCTGTTGTATTTGATAACATACAAACAGCTCTTTGAACTTTTGCCAAATCACCACCTGGTACAACAGTTGGTGGCTGATAATTAATACCAACTTTAAAACCAGTTGGACACCAATCAACAAATTGTATTGAACGTTTTGTTTTAATTGTTGCAATTGCAGCATTAACATCTTTTGGTACAACATCACCACGATATAACATACAGCATGCCATATATTTACCATGTCTTGGATCACATTTAACCATTTGATTAGCTGGTTCAAAGCATGCATTTGTTATTTCAGCTACAGTTAATTGTTCATGATATGCTTTTTCAGCTGATATAACTGGAGCATATGTTGCCAATGGGAAATGAATACGTGGATATGGTACAAGATTTGTTTGAAATTCAGTTAAATCAACATTTAATGCACCATCGAAACGTAATGAAGCTGTTATTGATGATACAATTTGTCCAATTAAACGATTCAAATTGGTATATGTTGGTCTTTCAATATCCAAATTACGACGGCAAATATCATAAATAGCTTCATTATCTACCATAAAGGCACAATCAGAATGTTCTAATGTTGTGTGGGTTGTTAAAATTGAATTATATGGTTCTACAACAGCAGTTGATACCTAAAATAATATAATAATAAAAAAAAAAAGGTTATTTTGTAAATTGTGAAAAAATTTTAATTGGCTAAATTGCAAAAAATTAAAATTGTATTCATTTTTCCTTAACATTTTAAAGACAAAATAAATTTTCAATTATCATTGAATTGAACCAAGTTGTCTGTAGACATTTTGTATGTTACAATAATTATATAAGAGCGAAAGGGTATTTTCAGCTTAATTAATATTATATTTATTCTTTCGGATGACGTCAATGTACATATTTCATATTTACTTCAATTAAAGTTGAACAAGTTCAAATTTTTGTTGTCATAAAATGTATTTTGGTTTAAAACTTTGCTTATTAGTCAGATTATCCTTTAAAATTGTCTGGCCACTATTTACGTTTATTTAATTTTGATTTGTTAAGAATTTAGAGTTGTCTTTTAATTGTGCACAGTAAAGTTACTGTATTAAAAATTTTTGGTTATACTTATAAATATTTACAATATCTAAGAAAGGACCTCTTCCTCACCAAATTCAGTTTTTGTTAATCGTTGTGCTTCTTGAATATTATATTAGCTCTTAAGTTTCCCAGCTATGTGCGCTCTTACGTTTGTTCGTTCTAAAGCTTTTCGTCATTTCAAAGAATATTAAATTTATTAAAATATTTCTCAAATTATTTGAAAACAAATTAAATAAATTGTCAACAACTTTAATTTTATACCCCCATCTCTGTGCCATAATTACTGTTAAAGTTTGATTGCTTTTGAGAATAAATGAAAAATTAGACTTTAATAATGAGGAAAAAAGTGTTAAACATAAATTCAATTTTTATGGTTTTGATATTTAAAAGCATGTTAACTAGTATAATAAAATTTTATATAGGATGATTTTAATTTCATTAATCATTTCTGAACAAAAAAAAAAAAAAAAACGTAAATTGTTACAAACAATTACTCACATTTTTATTGTTATTGTTATTATTTTGCCCTCAATTAGAAAATCGCAACAAAAAAGAAAAAAAACAAAGAAATAGAAGAAAATTTTTGCTTTAATTTTCACCAAACAGAAGTGAAAAAATCAAATTTTTCAACATTTCTACAATTTGACTCGGTTTTGGATCGTAACCGTTTGGTTTTTTTCTACAATTTCTTTCTTTTTTTTCTTTTTCCTAGTTAATTTTTTAAATCGCTTTTTTTTCATTCCTTTATTCTTTAAAAATTTTTTTGTTTCTCTTTTTTACTTTTAACATTTTATTGAGGTGATTGACCAACTGATTTTTTTCACTTCTCAACACATACCCAACATAAAAAACTTTTCAAAAGTTTTATAATTCCTCCTGACTATTTAACTTTTATACTATGATTTATATATACATACATACTTACATATTATATGTATATATAAATTAGGTATAAGTACCATATAGTTTAACTATTAATATAAGTAACTACTAGTTGTAAATTTTAAATGGGGAAAACTTATTTGTCTTGATTTATCTTTAAAAAAGAATCTAACGAGTTGTTCTAAAAAAATTATAGTGCACTATTAAATAATAAAAAAACAAAAATATAAATAGGAGTAAGTAGATTTTTTTTTACTTTTTAGCACTTTTCCAAAAAAAAAAATTTTTCAAAAACAAATCTTGTTGGGCCGTCCGTCCGTCCGTCCGTCCGAGAACCTTTTTACAAAACTTTTATACCCTTTAAGATAGGCAAATGAAATTTTACATATAGATCGATTTTTAATAAGTTAGAAACTTATTTCCGCAGAAGAAAATTTTTTTCTATCCCCCCCCCCCTTTCACATCGTAAGTCTGATGTTATAGCTCCTGAAAATCCTTAAAAATACCATTTTTTGATTATTTATTGCAAAAAAATTACAAATATTTTTTTTTTTAATTTTGCAAACACAGAAAATTAGTGGTTGGATTATTTGGCCCGCGGCATAGCAATAGTTAAGCATGGAAATGACAAAATGGCCATTGAAATTAAACGTTATCTAAAATAGGTTTTTTTCAAATTTTTTAACATATAAATTAATAATTTATTTTGTTAGAAGAACGTTTTTTTACACATCCATCCCCTCTCAAGCTATAACCGTTCGAAATTCGTAAAATTAAATTTTATTCCCGAAATTTCAAGCTTTTCTAAATTTCTATAAACGCTAAAAGCTAATGGTACCATCAAAATATGCCATTCACCCCTAAATTCGAACATTGTGGCAATGTCTCTTTTAATTTTTATTGTCTCATCCTATGTTTAACATGTATGACATATTAAAAATGTAATATGTAGATTATTTTTAATAGCAGAACTTTCATTTGTTTAAGGCAAATGAGCTTCTTTACAAACCTTTAGTTTTATTCAGCTCTATTTTTGTTTTTGCGTTTTTTTGTAGTTTTGGGCTAACTTAATTTTATTGTAATTTTTCTGTTTTATTTTGGATTTTGTTTAGAATACAACAAAGCATAAATGTATATGGGCTTATAATTATTGTTACACGCAAAGAAAATTAGAATTGAAATATTTTTGCATTAAAATATTAAATCTTTCAAATTTGACAACTATTGTCATCTACTGATTTTTATTTTTTCATTTAGATTAGCTCTTCTTTCACATGTGTACTTTTATTTATTCACTATCGCTATTTTCGATTCTACTTATTCCATAATATCCTTTTGTCTACACTCAACATAGTATGAACAATTTATCAAGAAAAAATAAATTATATTATATGTATATTAAGGACCAGCTGTGCTTAATTTATTCGGGTGAAAATTTGCATCAAAGCTCGTAATCCTAGAACTATGCAAAATTTATCAAATGTATTCGAACATTGTAAATTTGTTCGCCAATTTTGTGAATTTATTCTATTTATTGGTTTTATTTATTTTAAATCGAATTTTAAATTTACATTATTATTAATCCAACATTTAAAAAAATTTATAAGAATAAGAATTTAGTAAAATTCTACAATTTTTTCAGTTGCTTTTTTTCTGAGTGTTTGAAATTTTATATTAAATCATATATATATATATATATATATATATATATATCAAAAAATAATTCCCGTTTAATGTTTAACAACTGGTAAAAGAAGTTCTTTAAAAAAATTTTTCTATTGTACCTACTCCCCTTTTACATAACCAAACCATATTTATAATGGTAAACCATTATTTTAGTATTGCGTGAGTAAAAATAAAAATTTACAAAAAAAACTATAGATACCTTAATAAAAGTATAATAATGGTATATGGCATAGTTTCGTTCTTGAATGGATTATAATCCGGATAAAAGATAGAGAGAGCGAGAGAAAAATATAAGAAAACTACAAAAAAGAATTGATTATTTTCCGAGGAATTTTCTTTTCCACAAAGAAATTTCTACTTAACAAAAAAAAATTATGTGATTTTAACATTTTTGATATGTGCGCGAACCGCCTTCATTTATGAGCTTCATTCTATATGATAAATTTAAATTATAAATTAATATTGCTACTCTTAAAATTGTATAAAACACGTAGCACTATAAATAAAATTATGTAATAAATTTACCTGAGGAGCTGGATAAATTGAAAATTCTAATTTAGATTTTTTGCCATAATCGACTGATAAACGTTCCATTAATAATGATGTAAAACCACTTCCGGTACCACCACCAAATGAATGGAATACCAAAAATCCTTGAAGACCAGTACATTGATCAGCTAATTTACGAATACGATCTAATACAAGATCAACAATTTCCTTGCCAATTGTATAATGACCACGGGCATAATTATTAGCAGCATCCTCTTTTCCAGTAATTAATTGTTCTGGATGGAAAAGTTGACGGTATGTACCGGTACGAACCTCATCTGAAATAATATTATATTTATGTAGTACACAATTTATAATAGAAATTAACTCAAAGTTAATAAAAAAAACTTCTTTTAAATAAGTAACCCCTTCGTCAGTTTTTCTGGCATATTTTAGGAAAATATGATTTTTTCAAATTGTAAAGAATAACTTAAATTTTTAAGATTTTTAAAATTTCCTCTGAAACTTAATATGTGGCAATTATAAAAAAATAATAACGAGGCGATCAGAGCCGTGGTTTATAAAATAACACTTTCCCATTTAATAAATAGTTTTGAAATTTGTTATTGTATTTGTGTAGAGTTTTGGATCTAAATTGTAAATAATAAAAATTTGAATGCAATTTAGAAATTTTCCAGGAAATTATGTATTATTCTTAATAATTATTCATAATAATTATTTATTATTCTTAATAGTGGTTAATTATTAACCAGTATTGTTAATTTCATTCTATTCTTCAGTTTGTCCTTCTGCCCACCCGTTCATATATTCTGTTTACAAAATTTTTAAGCTGTACAAGGTGGAAGGATTTTTCTTTCATAAAAAATTATAAAAACAAATGTCAGGCTATAGACTTGATTCTGTATAAATCAATTGTTATTTATGAAGAGTCTATCTCAAATTTTTCAAGTAATTTTCTAAATACACGCGATCTCGGATTAATCTCAATTTAAGAATAATTTATAGTTATCGATAAATATTTTAATTTACAAGAATAAAATATTTTTGTGACTTTTCCTTCTCGTGAGTTCAAAATGAAAATTTTCGGTTCCTCATTTCTTTGAAAATGTTAGCTCTGCCTATTTTCTATAAAAGCAAAATCCTGTTACCCAAAAAAGTATGCTTAATTAATTAGCAAAAAAAATACCCTTATGCTAATTAATTAGCAATAAAATTCAAGATTTCTCCGGAATATATGCAAAATTATATGAAAATGAGGAAATTATTTCAACACATCGGTTTTATTTACTTCAGCTTAAAGTTATAAAAATATGAGCCCTGCACTAAATTGCTAAAGGAAAATTTGATATTTTAGAAATCTAGAGTATGATGGCTAATTCAATTTTATTAAATATTATTTTTCACATATATTGACGGGTACTGGTCAAAAAAACAGATGATAGAAATTGAATGAAAAAAAAAATCTATTAGCAGGGGGAGCTAACAAATTTAATATCCTTATTTCTTGCTGTAACAACAAATGCGGAATAATCTCCGACAATGCAAGAATAAGATGACCAATGATTTGTAATTTCAATTTTTACCATTATAAAGAGCATTGACTTAACTTAAAAATTTTGTTCTATTAAAATAATTTTTTCTCTAAGAATTTTCCAAGCCTTCTATCTTGGAAAAGTTTATATAAACACGGGCAAGTAAATTGACAAACGGTTAAAATAAAAAAAATAATTTTTTTTGTAAATGTAATTCTAAAAATAAAATAAAGATTAAATTACCGACAACAGTAGGTTCTAAATCAACGAATACAGCTCTTGGTACATGTTTACCGGAACCAGTTTCACTAAAGAATGTATTAAATGAATCATCACCGCCACCAATTGTTTTATCAGATGGCATTTGACCATCTGGTTGAATACCATGTTCAAGACAATATAATTCCCAACAGGCATTACCAATTTGAACACCAGCTTGGCCAATATGAACTGAAATACATTCTCTCTGTAAAATAACAAAAAAATAAAAATAAAATAATTAATATTATAATTTATAAATAAAAAATTTATTTGTGCATGTGTGTGTGTCTATTATGAAAAAATTCTGCATACACTACATAAATTTGATACTTTTTGACATTTACATAATAATAAATTTCTCAAATAACATTTATGGTCTATAGGGTTGTGTAGTCATTTAAAATTTTTTTAAGTCTCTTCTTATTCTAAAAAATTTAAAATTTGTCATTTAACATGGAAATGAAAAAAAAAAATGATGCATTTTTTCTATTCCAAATATAGAAAAAAAATGTTATGAATTTTTTTCTTTTTTTTTTTGTAGAAATTTGGAAATGAGTGTGTGTATAATTTTACAATTTTATTTTTGAATTTCTTCTAAATTCTAGGCATGAATCGGTTTGCTTCCTCTGTGGAAGAGGCAGAGAGATAAAAAATCAAAAAATTTTTTATAAAATTTTTATTTTGTGTTTTAGTTTTTCACAAAAATCTTAAAAAAAAATCCTGAATTTCAGCAAGAATTTTTTTTTTTCGAAATAAAAATGAATTCGAAAATATTTTTAGAATTTTACTTGAAAACTTATCGCCCGTATAGTTCTCCAGAGTAATGAAGAAGTGATTTTGAAGAAAAAACAAAAAGGTATAGATGAGGAATAAATTTATATTTAAATATATGTGCGTCTGTGTGTGAATTCAAATTATTTAAATTTAAATTTATAAATAAATACTCCTTTAAATTTTAATTTAAAAGTAAATGAGAATTAAAATCTTCTCTTATCTTTGTTATTATTATTAAATTTTACATACGTGTACATACACACTTATACATAAAGACTCTGGATGCTACTTGATATATTAAGAAATTTACATGAACTGAAAAAATTTATTGCCTCTTCCATACACTACATTGCATTATAAAAGTAATAAAAGTGGACGTTTCTCTCAACTCTGCTTTTTTTTTTTTTAAATCTTTTATATTTTAGTTTCAAGTCTTTAAATTAGTTGATGAATGTCCATAACTTTTTAAGAATATAAAATATTTTTTAATTTTTGATGTATCACATACGAAAATTAAGTTTTACAGTAGGATCCGTCCATAACAAACATTTTGTACAAGTGACAATCTCTATATTTCGAGAGTAATTTATTTAATAGCGTAGAATTTTATTTTTAGATGATTATCAATACGATAAAGTTTCTGGATTGAAAATTTGAGTTTTAATATTGAAAATATACGATTATGTGCAGTTGATTTCCAGAAAATAGAATTATGAAGTAATTCTGTAACTTGTGTTTATATCACGTTTACAACAGGAATTACAAAAAGTGAAACTTTAAACGAAAGGAGTCTTGAATGTCAATTCCTTTAGTATACAAAATTTTGTATAGTAAATTTAAAAAAAAAACTATATAAGTATACATATACATATCTGCTTAAATATTTCTTATAGTTTGGTCATTAAAAACTACGTTAAATTAGATCTGCTCAGAGTTTTCAAAAAATTTACCACTTATCAAGTCTCAAGAGAAAATATAGGAATAACATTGCATATTTAAAAGATACTCAAAAAGTATAAGATTTCTATGTGCATCGCCTTGTTCGCTTGTATAAACTGCTATAATATAAATATAAAAATTCTAGCCACTCATATAAACTTACTAATTTTTGTCTAAAATTAAATAAAGTATTTCGTAGGTTTGGACTTTCGGGTAGTTTCAAAGACGTGCAAATTGGCTGCAACTTATAAATAAATAGGTCCTGTCGTCATTAGTTTCTAAAAAATAATGATTAGCCCAACAACTAATTACATAATTTAATTTCCTCTTGCTCATCATTATTCCTTTTCTCTCTTTTTTTAAATAAAGACGTACTTATTTTGCAATCCCATAGCCGTAATTTTAGTGTCTGATGGTCGTTTTGTCATTCAGCCAATCTTAATTTTGAATTATAATTCTTTCTTATCCTAAACTGTTCTAATATAATATAAACTGCTTTCCATTTAAAACTATTCCTGAAGCAGCAAATTATTTGAATATTCTTGTAATATTTTTTACATTAATTTGGCATAAAGTAAAAAAATTTACATATTGTAACTTTGTTAACAAAAATTCGAAAAATAGTATTTATTCAGTATTGCCAACATTGCTTGAACAGATTTATATTACATTGTAATTGTATACCTATTTCTATCCAAAAATTAATCGAAATAATATCGAGAAGTTACTGTTAATATTTTTGTATGTATGTATACATGAATGTATGCATATCAAAATGCATAACATTATAGAGTAGGCATAATGCACTTGTGGTCGATGACTTTTACATGATGAAATTTATTAATAGAAAGCAAACAACAAAAAAGAAAGCAAAAAAAAAAAACAGAATAAAAATATTAAAATTTCTTTTTGTTTTTCTTCTTAAATGCTTCTTTTATTTCAGATTTTCTGCATAAACATGATGGATAGGCATGTTCATGATGGCATATCAACCGTTGTGCATTGGAGAAAAAGAAAAAGAAAATATCTTAAATACAATTTTAGTATATAATGAAAAATATATGCGGTATGGTTTTTTATATAATATAAAAATAAATAAAAAAAAAATGAAAAACAACAATAAATCTATAAGTGAGAACCGTTTTCATTTTAAAAGAAAATTGCAATTTAAGTGGATTTTGTAATGGTCTAGACTCTATAGACTTAATAATGATTTTTCTTCAAGAAGAAGAATAGAAAATTTTCAAAAAAAAAAAAATTCACGATATTGAAAATTGAAACATTGTTTTTAAGAAGAAAAACTAAAAAAAAAACAAAAATAACAAAGAAACAACAAAATTTCACATCCTCAGATTGGGTCTATAATTGTAGGTTTATTCATTTTTTTTTATTTTATTCAAGTAATTATCGTATTGCAATATTGAAACAATAAATAAATTTCTTTGTTCTTCTTTTGCACATAATTGATGTTAAATTGTACTCCTGGATGTATGCATGTTTGTACCAATAATAATGCATTAGCAATTTTAAGTGTTGCTGCTCTTGAATATTTGTAAGAACACATACACATTTAAGCACATTTATACGTGAAATATTACTCATTTTATACATTTTCTTAATAATATATTAAAAAGAGTGTGCGTGATCAAAAGACAAAAATTGCTTTATGACTCTATATACATATGTTAAGCTGCAAATTCAATCGCATATCTGAACCGAATATGCATAACATGTTTGTATGTTTAAATATTTCATTATTTTATTCTTATAAAAATTTAATTAAATTTTTTTTTCATAAATTACTTTTTCAATTAGTTTTAAAATAAATTCAACTAATTGTTAAGTCAATTTGAGAACGCGTCGTCAAGATTATAATAATTTTTAATTAAAATTATTTTACACATAATATGCTCTAAGAATTTGTTCAACGATTCTTGAGGGTTTCTTTTTAAAAAATTATTTATTTTTGTTTTTATATTAATTTTTATTGGAAATGACAAGTACACAATGCAATTTATTAATTTTATTTTTTATAAAATTTTAAAAACTCTATACTCGTATATGAAAACAAAAAAATTTTATTGAAATAAATTTTTGTTTGGTTTTGAATTCTTATTTAATGAAAATAATTTTAAATTGAGTTCAATAAAACATTGTTAATAAGATTAAATTGGGAGTGAATTTAAGTAATATTGAGAAATTAATTTTAAATTAAAATTTTTATTATTGGCTTATTATTTTAAGTAGCTATGAACTTAAATTTTTAGTTCACATTGCATGCGAAATTCAAATCGTAGTATAGTTTAAAAAGAGTTGCTTCTCGGTAAAAAATATAAGCAAAAAATTGGTCATTTTACGAAAATTTATTGTTTCCACTTTTAATATGTTTGCATATATAGAATTAATATTGAAAATTCAACATTGGCTAATATTCTTAGTTCAAATTTAAAATTCAAAGAAAAAAATCTAAAATTTCAACTAAACTTAAGCACGGAGGGTGTTTCTCTTTGTAGTAGAAAATGTGCATGGAAAATAAATTATGATAGAGCAAAATTGCGTTCAGAAACCGTATTGTCAATTGATAGATCTACATAACAGTATACCGATGATAGGTGTCAGACTGTCAAAAAAGTCAAAAAAATTTGCTATTTTTTTCGATGCGCCCCTTCCTACACCCACACAATTTTTTTCCTAAAAAAACTCCAACAAATCACTATCGAGAGTTTTAGCACTTGGACCGGACCCTTCTTTTTTGGTAATAATTACTAGATTGTTAAAATTACCGGTATATTTTTTTTCCATTTTCCAATGTGATTATCTCAGAAAATACTCGTATTGTAATAAATTTGATAGTTTGTCATATATTTTAAAAAATTAAAAGAAATTTCAATTCTTCTCTTAAATGTTTTTTTTTCCTGAACGAAAGTCTAATTAAAATAACGCGCTGATCTGAATTAATGTATCATACCTAATAAGTTTTTAAAAGAATTCTCCTTTATTGAATTTTATTAAAATATTATTATAATGCATAATTACACGGTATACATATATGGGGTCGATTTTAATGTTGCCATAGTTTTGCATTTCTTAAAATAATTTTATGTTTGTACTATTTAAATTATTTTAAATTGAGTATAATTTGAGATGAACTTGTGCAAGATTAAAAACATGAAAATGAAATCCAAAAATTCAAAATAATTTAAGTCTTAATCTTAATTTTTTCATTGTGATTTGCAAATTTTTAATATTTTAAATTTAAGGAATTTTTAAATTGCCTATAAATTAAGAAAATACTCTTCTTAAGTTAACAAAAATTTAAATTTTGTACATTAATTTTTTGCTTCCTTAATAAATAATTTAAAATGCAACAAAAAAAATCCAATTTTCTTTAGTATCTATGAATAAAGTTCAGAATAAAATTTAGAATTTCATAAAAAAAAAATTGGAAATACATAATTAAAAATTCACTTTATTTATGCGCATAATTTAATA